TTTTTTTTTTTTTTTTTTTTGGTTCTGGGGATGGAACTCAAGACCTTGCTCTTGCAAGGCAGGTGGTGGCACCACTGAGCTAAATCCCTGGCCCACTATTAACATTTTTAATGGTTTCCAAATCTGTGAAATTTCATTTGGAAGGGGTTGAAAGAAAACAAAAGTCTCTAGTGTACCCAAATTTAATTCAGCCACATTTTTCATTTACTTATTATCAATATTCTCAAGGTTTAAAAGCTTTAAAAATCTGTGTGCATTGTGGGAATGTAATTAATTGTCTGTAAAGTGCACAAATCCCAGAAAGACACTTTGTCAAATCATCTTATCCTAGTCATGATCTTATTATTGACCAATTCGCCTGGTCTCTGATTTCACTGAGTTGGGATTAAATCAGTGTGCCCTTCCCACTGCATAATTTAGGGCTGCTTTAAAACGATGTAATTACAAACCTCAATGGTAGATTGTGAATTGCATTCACTGTCATAAGTGCCATGAACATGATTTTCTTTCAGAACAGTAGGGCAAAGATGCTATGCTAATAAAGTTCCTCTACTGTACATCTACTATCAGATATCCACTGAAATTGGAGACTTGGATGAGATCCAAAGCTAGACATGAAAGCTGGGGAAATGCCAATATTTTGTAGATTTAGAGAAGTTTTGGAGAAAAAAAATTTCTTTAAAACAATAAAGTGCTAGATGAAAAAGCCTAAGATTTAAAAATTTTTCAGGTGTAAATTTAATTTTATAAATGGGTACAGTCCTGAGCTAGGTCTTCCTGAGGAAGGAAAGGACATTTTGTGTAGTGACCTACTCTAATTTTGACCGCTTTCCACAGAGTGAAATTAAAATACCTCATGAAATTTCCCAGAGCCTTATTTGACATCTGCTGCATTCACTCCCGGCCCACTATCCCTTCCTTTACCATAAACTTTTCGTCCATTCCAAGTTCCCAACTCCTTCTTCTGAATCTAGAGATGGAGAGGGAGCATTTGTAAGTAATATTCAAGAATCCCAGCTGGATGAGAATTCGGTCTCATGTTTCACAGTTCTAAATGTACAACTAAAAAAGTCTTTTCATGCTTAAAAAGAAGCAAAAAATAAGCAAAACAAACAAAACCTCCCACATATTTTCTTTTTTAGGGTAAGATGGTCATGATTCCTAGATAAACAATTTCCTTTAGAATTAGGCCTTTGGTATGTGGAAACTTGAGTATCAAATATTTAACTATAATATTCTGCTGGTACCCAATCTTGAGTCATAAATTTAAATTTGCTTTAGCCATCTTCACCGAACTTTGCTAAATTTATTTAAGCAACTGACATGTTTTGCGACTTCATAAATTATTAGCTTGACAGATACAAAATCCAAATCCCCTATACATATATACAAATTAAACAGCTCCAGTTAAGTTCTTGCTTGTCATTGTCAAAGATATACACTTTGATCAATGTAATTTCTTTGCTATGCATTTCTGAACTTGATAAATTGTGAGAAAATATCTCAGTGCCCCTTACTGACTACAATAACTCTCTTGTAATTTGCTCAAAGAAAGTGGTATCATTTACTCTTTGCTCTTGGAGGTCATAAAAGCAAACAGGTGGATTTTTGTTAAGAATCTTCAGGTTGGTAGATCTAAAGGCTTTGAAACTAGATAAATGTGAACTTCAGACTACAGAAATAAGCTTTTGCAGCAAAAGGGAGGGGAAAAGGCAGCTTTGCCCAAACTGAGGGAGCACAGCCCATTTGTTTATAAATTCAGCCAGCTGTTAGTAAGATTAACAGTGTATACTGAAAAGGTTGTATTTTAGCATTGTGACTTATTCTTTGAAAAAGCACTGAAGTAAAAGAAGAATCTAAGAATAAGGAATTGGTACTTTCCACCCTCAAATTGTATCCGTAAATTGGAATATTTAGCTAACCGGTTTCAGTCTGGGTGTTGTCAGTTTCTAGATTTGTTCAAGCCCCTGCAGCTTTCCAATAGTGGCTGCTATGTTGTGTGGCAAATGATTAACTCTGTCACCTCAGACTTTGCATGCCTGCTTTAAAGTATGATGAATTTCAGCTTTGGAATGGAAAAAGTACAAAAGTCACCTTAAGTCTTACTGTGCAACAAGTTTAATAGTCCACATAAAATGGATGGTACAGGTTTGTAGTCCCAGTTGGAAGCAATCCTGCCTCACTTCAAATGTTTCTACTCAGGAGTGTTTCCCTCTCCATCCTTTTTAAGTCTACGGAAGTACCCCTAAAGTGCATTTCTGACACATTAAAAACAGTACTGTGATTTGACCTTCTGAGTCCTCCAGAAGAGCACACCTTCCTCATTGGAGGGGCTGCAGAATTCAAGTTCAGCTACTATCTCTGAGAGAAAGACCCATCCACTAGTGTTACTCCCACAAGGGACATGAACAAGGGTGAAGCCCCAGAAGAGATTTTTGGGGAAAAAAAAATCTAGCCAAATTCCTCAGCAGTAGGCATCTTCTCTTATCACGAATAAATATTTAATGCATCTTTGAGTCATGAAATATTGAATACTCAATTGACACTCAACTTCCGGAAAAAAATGAACTCTTGGCCTTACGTGAATGTTCTGAATTTGTTGGGGTGAGACACTGAGTACAAGGGCAAGAACTGAGGGTGAGGGGAAGTGACAGGAGGGAGTCCTGGAAGCTACTGCTTGTCCTCCTAGGAGTCACCGGGGAAATCCGCCTCTTCTGGGGACCTGTCTCCCTCAGGGAGCAGCGTGGCGCGCACTTTCCTCTTTTCCTTAAAGCGGCCAGAACGAGAGATCTTCAGATTGCGGCGGCTGCTGCCCGATTTCTCTCCGCAGGAGTTGTCTAACTTGGGCGACTCGCCGGCGGCGCCACCGAGAACGTTGGGGTGCTGGTTCTCTTGGGAGCTGCTGGTACAGTCTGGGCTGGGAGGCGCGGGCTCCCCAGGGACAGGTTGGGCCAGAGGCTGAGCACCTATCGGGGCGTCCTTGCTTTTCTTCTTGCTATTGGCTAGTGATTTCCACCAGGGACCCGAGTTGCCGGGGCCACCGCTGTCGGCCATGGCCAGGCCAGGGCCCGGGAGCCCGGTGTTAGTATGAGCTTCGGCGACCCCCTTTTTCCGTGGTCCTGCAGCTTCACTTCACCCCTTCCCGGGCTTCTCCCAAGCGGGCTGCGGGTGTGAGCCGAGGCAGCTTTCTGTATACTGGGGAAGAAAACAAAACTTGGTTACTGGGTTGGTGGAAGACACGTGCCCTAATCTCATTCCGTCCTTCTGGCACCAGATCGCCAGCGCGCCCCAAGACCCCAGCATTTCACTCCCGAGCCTTAGAGGGTGCAGTTGCTTTACTGGCCTCCAGGGCGCCACCACCTGATCTCAAGGCTAAGCCTGGAACTCCCCGGCCTGAACCTCTGCCTAGAGCTCCAGGGAGAAGCGCGAAGGGCTCCAGGGAAGTCCCCGCCGCCCGGACCAACCTGGCTTCGCAGGGGAAACGGCCTGTCCGGTCCACACTGCCGGACTAGACGGACGCCCTTAGGTAACCCACCTGTTCTGGAACAAGGAGCCCCTGAGAGTAGGGCGTGGACAGCTAAGTGTGTCCCAGCTACAGGTGAACTAGAAAGTCAAACCACAAGCAGCGACAACTATCCCGTGGAGGTTTTTCTCCTGTGCTCTCCCCGCGCGGGGTCTGTTTTGATATGCTTCTTCGGAGAATTTATATTCCAATAAGAATGAGATACAAGCTCATGCTGTTTGCTTTGCTTCTTTTAAATCCTCTTTTTAACCACTTCTGCTTGTGACTTTCAGAGAAGCATGTCTAGACTTAACTTCCCTCGAAAATCGCCATCCTACTCTTATTCCTCAGAGACCACTCTTGTGGTTTTTAGGAAGGCTGCCCCCTCCCCGGCAGATTCCAGAGACCGGGCCAGGCTGCAGATGTTCCTCCCCTCTTCCCATGGTTAGGAATATGCTCCGAGTCTGTTTGTACTACGCAACTCAATTCTCAAGAATTTTACATATTTAAGACTTCTGTTCTTTTCCTTGCAAAGTTCCATCCTCCACACGGGAGAGCACAACAAGGATCTTCAAAACAGTTTGCTTCTGCAAGCTTGTTGTACCTCTTCGCAGGGCAAAAAGGCTGCGTGTTAGCACTTAAGTGCGAGTAATGAAGACGTGACATCCCTGCCCACTTCTGTCCACCGTTCACGGCGCACAACTACCGCGAATGCGTAGGATTCGCCCTCGCCGCAGCTTATTTCCCGGTTTCCGCTCCGCTCCTTCCAACCCACGCGCGCGGAGCTCCTGGGATTAGCAAGTGAGCAGAAGACAGAGACTTCGGCGGCTCTGTTTGTGGTGGGAAGTCGTCCCCCCGGAACTCCGAGGAGAGGTAGTCCCAGTGCCTACCCGAGGCGGCGCAGCGGCCCCAGCTGCGCACTGAAACCGTGGCACCAGCTCCTCCCCGACGTGCCCGGAGGGACACTGGGGCTGGTATTGGAAAACAATAAAAGAAAAAGTAGCCAAAAGTTCTTTCTGTACAAAAGCCACCCACACCCTCAGGCATAATGGGCAGTGAAACACCACGTCCTACTTTGCAAATCAGAAAAGTACCCTCAAAGTATTAACTAATGGGGGGGGCTGTCAATTTGATGTGCACCGAAAGCCTCCGTGCGAATTGCGCAAGGAAAAGATTGCAAATTATGCAAAACCAGGCAGAGCCCAGTTCTGGAGCGCCAGCGGCTCCCGGCCTGTCCTCGCGCTAGGAGGCGGGGGATAGGGAGGCGCAGGGCATCGGCCCAGGGTGCCACCGCTTTGGTAGGCTCTGTCTGGGCAGACGCAGAACCATCCCGGGGCGCTCACCTGCTTGGGCTCCCGGGACGCCACCGGCCCACACTGCACTAGTGGCCGAGAGCACCAAGGGGGCCGCGCTCCGGACACCCTGGAGCCGGGACGCTGTCCCTCGGCGAGGTCTAGGAGAGGTCACGCTGCTGAAGTGTACCAGTCGCAAGGTCCGCAGCGCAGCTACACCGAATGCTGCTCTCCCTCGGCACCTCCAACTTCTGCCTCCTACGAGAAACCACGGACTCGCCGCGCCGTGGGCTCGGTCCGAGGCACGGTCAGATTCCCTGCCCCCGGAGGAAGCCCAGGCGGCCTTTCCCGGTTAGCAGCCTCACAAGCTCACAAGCTTCCCTCTCCCCCGCCAGCGCCTCTGGGGAGCCGCCGAGAGGTGGGACCATGGCTACTCGCTCGCTCGGGCGCACTGAACCTTCCTACGCGTGGGTAGGAACAAGCAAAGACATCTGCCCACCTGCTGGTCTTGCGCCAAGTGATTGGAGAAACCAGAACCTAGCGGCAGAGGGGTGCGGGGTGGGGGCGGGGGTGAAGTGACCCAGGAGGCGGCCACCCGCAGCCACAGGTGCAGGTAGGCACTTGGGTTCCCGCCCTCCGGGTACGCGATTGGATCAGGTCGCAGACGTGGCGCCAGCCTTGAGGCGTCTGATTGGAGGAAAGCCGTGCCGCACGGCTCGCGGGACAGAGTCCTTGGGAAGAAACCGTGAAGACTCCGGACCCTGAGATCCGAGCGTACCCGGAGCAAAGGTCCCCACGGCAGCCCTCTCTGAGCCAGCACCCGGAGTTCTTTTCCCTCTGTCTCCGGGTTCCGGGAACCCGTGTTTCGTAACTCACAGGAGCGGATTCACGCTCCGGCAATGTTGGAGAGTTTCAGACACACTTAGTTTAAAGGCTGTAACAGTTTTAAACAGCTTGCTGTTGTCAGCCAGGCGCTGTCGCAAGAGCTTTCTGTGGATGAACTCTTTTAGGTCTCACACCAACCCTAGCAAGCAGGTATTGTTATTATCCTCACTTGACTGCCAGGACACCTCAGCAAGTGAAAGCTAAACGGTTGCTCGCGGTGGTGGCGGGCAGAGCAGGTTGTGACCCACGAAGTATGGCTTCAGCTTCCGTGGGCTTAACCAGCACGTTAAGCCACAGCTCGTTGGTTTAGGCTCTTAAAATGTCTGAAGATCCTTTTTTCATATGTGGAAATACATGCCCCCTCCCCCACCAGGAGAGCGTAAACACGGCCCTGGGCCACCAGGAGGAGTGAGCCAGTGGTGTCAACCGTAGGCTGCTTTTGCTCCTGGTCGCATATCAGCGGTTTTTGTTAGTTTGGCAGAAAGTCTTGGGCATAAGAAGTGCTTTGCTAGGAAAGACAGAAATGCAACCTGCCTCATCTTGAAGGATGGTTTTCTTTTTCAAAGAATTCTTAGGATGCTCTTGAGCTCCTCTACACACAAGCCTAAGGCTGGCTGCTAGGGAGCCCCTGATGGGACTTTCTGCAATGTAAAAGGAGTGAAACAAAGAGTCTATGTCTGTAATTCTGGCTACCTTGGAGGCTCAGGACTGTGAGTTCCAGGCCAGCCAGGGCAACTTAGGAGGACCCTCTCTCAAAAACTTATAAGGGTTGGTTGGGGTAGCCAGTTAGCTCAGTGGTAGAGCACGTGGGAGTATTCCCAGGCTTCGGGTTAAATCCCTAGTACCGCAAAAACAACAATGAAGTGAAAACAAACACTAAAAATTTTTGTAACATAGAATTAGTAGAAATAAATTTTTATAGAGTATTTCAATATGTGAGAGAAGGGAAAGATATTTTTGCATTTTTATGACAATTATAACAATTATACAATTTTAACAAAGGAGTGAACATTTTATTAATTGCTGAAGTAAAAACCTGATTCTCTTATCACCACCCCATTTATAGTCAGGTTCTTGGAATGTTCCTGTCATGTTTCATAGACTGGATGACAATGCCTTACAAATAACACTTGTGTGGCAGAACATATTTGAAACTGATACATTTTCATGTGTATCCCGGGATAAGTCTTAAAATGTAGAAGTTTTATTCTAGCACTGGGACTGAACAAAGGCCACCAATTTTGAGAGGAGGATAGGCAAATTCAGGGCAACACATCACTTCCAGGTGAAGATATTGAATCATAAGGAAAGCCCTCTTCTGAGGTGCAGTCGCCACCAGGAAGCTATGGAGTTGGGTGGCCATAGGAGTAAAAGAACGAGGACATTTCAGAAAAGAAAGTACTGCCAACTGGCTGTGGGAAAAGAGACCAACCCTCCCTATGGAATTGGGCAACTATAGGTTAACTGTGTTATTGGACAGCTATGGTTAATTGTGTAGAAGGCACCTGAGCAGCCATGACAACTTCTGGAATCTGTCACCAAAGGAATGTAATGTCTCACACAGTGCTGCCAGAACTCTTTGCCCTCCCCACCTCGCTGCTCTGCTTTGTGTAAACCCTGCTTGCTATATTCCGAGGGAAACTCCAATGGAATTAAGCTTTGTAGATGTAAAAAGAGGTATACAAAGAAGCAAACACTTCTATGTGGGGCTCTAGAGGCTGACGAGGTTCACTTGCTGAGCCACCAGCATTATTAAAAGCCGATTTGCTCCTTTTGCGTGTGTCAGAGTGGTCTGTCTGGGAATCTCACACAGTTTTCTGATGCAACGCCTTATCTAGTAAAATCATAACAAAGGAGTGAACATTTTATTAATTGCTGAAATAAACACCTGATTCTCTTATCACCATTCCCATTTCTAGTCAGGTTCTTAGAGTATTCCTGTCGTGTTTCATGGATTGGATGACAATGCCTTACGGATATCCTTTGCATGTAGTAAATACATTTAATCAGAGAAATAAAGCAGAGAAGACCTGAAATGAAATGGGAATGGGTGAGAATTCAGAAGGACCAGCATGTGCAAGAGTTCTGGGGAGTGCAGGAACTCCTCAAAGTGCACTTGAGCAGGTGGGTTGGTGGCAGCTGAGTGCTATGGAAGATGAGGCTGTGAATCTGGGTAACCAGATCCTTCAGGCAAACCAGTGGAAGAGGGGCTACAGGATGAGACAGGGTTGCATTTAAAAAGCACTGCACCTGGTAGATAGAGTAGAAGGCAGAGAGCATGATGGGACTGCAGGGAGACCTACACTGTTGGAATAGTGCGGTGGGATATTCTAGTGGCAAAACTGGTGATACTCAAAAGGGTATTAGTTCGTTTAATTCACACAAAAGAAGAGAGTGAGTTTGAGTAGAGGATTAAAAAACTCTCACAACTTTCTTTGCAAGTAGGAGTAACCATGTAATTGGGGGTTGGCTCATGGAACTGTGAGGAAGACTTCAGAAAATGCCTCTTTCTTCAAATAAAAGGCACAGATTTCTGAGAGAGAGCATCTTTTTCCACACCCTTGATTCTTACGTTTAAGTACAGTGGACGGCTGTGAGGTCAGGTGCTGCAGCAGCCGTTGCACATACACAACAGTGAGTTTAGAGGCATTAGAATAAAAGGCAACACCCCAAGAATTTTGGCACGGGAGTGTGGGAAGTATCTTGGTCTTTGATGATACCTGGAACCACCTACTTCCAGACTTCTGGTTCAGTGAGGTAATACACATCTCCATGATTTAACTGCAGATTTAAACACAGGTTTCAGTTACCTGTAGACAGACATATTCCTACTTGATAAAAGCTTAATAGAAGACATGCTACTGTTGAAAAAAGAAAGTTGTGTTGTCACATTTTTTTTTAGATCAATTTGAAAATTTCTTCAGAAAAGATGGAGGAGTCAATGAAATGCTTAGGAGATGGGGGTAGTTTTTTGTTTGTTTGTTTGTTTTTTGGTACCAGGGATTGAACTCAGGTCCTTGAGCTTGTGAGGCAGGCAGCGGAACCACTGAGCTAAATCCCTGGCCCCAGGGGTAGTTTTTAATTGGCAGGGAAATCATCTATACCACAAAGCTTTCCATAGAAAAGGCTTGGAATTAGGGGAGGAAGGCGTAGAAGAATGTATGTGGAGTGCTGGAGTGAACAATCTGGGAGTGAGTTCAAAAGATGAGGATCACCGGCTTACTCGCAGCATCAGAAAATTTGGGCCTTTATAGACAGAATTTTAAATCAAAACTACAAAGACGTAGTCCTCCAATATTTTTTGCATCTAGAACTATTTTAATCTGTGAAAATTTTCAAAAATTTCTCATGCCAAAATCCTTACACAAATGTGCACACAAGGGTGTGGCGTTCAAAATAAATACAGCTCTGTTTTGAAACTATTGATCCAGGAGTCACACTGCCGGCTCTATAAGGATGACATACGGGTTTTCATTGTTCTGCTGAACTTCGTGCAGTGGTGACGCATTTAAAAACCGACTTATCTGTGGTATCCAGTTAATAGCAGATGACTCAGCGTTGCAGTTTTTAAAATGCTTAGATTGGACCTTGCTTAAATTGCAGCTTTATCAAGTCAACCTTAAAATGTAATAAATGATTACCCTCAAAAGCATTATACAACACATTCTTAGGCCAATATTGGTTACTAGGAATTCCAAGTAGAATTTCAGAGGTTAAACCTGACATTCGCCATACTGGCACACCTGGCACTACATGAGAGGTTGGGCAATCAGTTATCTTCCTTTTAAGCATCTACTGCGGGGCCTTGGCAGTCAAAGGACATAATGAAAATATTTAAGAAATATGGCTACAGAAAAATTTTAAAAATGGCTCATATTCTTGTCATGCAGAGATGGCCTGATTATGCTTTGGTGTAAATTATGTTTTGCCCCATCTTTCCACGTTTACACTTTTTCCTCCTCTTTATCCCTCCTCTGCTTCCCTCCCTCCCTCCATTCCTTTATTCCTTTATTTTACGGACTTCTATATCCTTTGACAATTCGATGTGGCTCTCCCCACTATGTCCTTTGTAGTTATCTACATAGCGGTCATTTACAATTTCTTTTCCCCTTATTGTATGTTCATATTAGAATTGTTGGATTTAGTTTTATAAACTTTTAGAGTGTGATCATGGCAAACAAGTGTGACACCGGGATTCACTTTTTGTAGCCTCTCATCCTGCACTTTGCCAGGATAACTGAATATGTGTCTAGAAGTTGAAAACAATTATACTTCTCCTCATTCCAGTTTTGCACAAAATACTTCTCATGTAGGCTTTGCACAGTTCCCTGGAGCACTTGACTGAGGAAGAGCAGACACACCCAGCGCAATCTCTCTCTGCAGTTCAGCCCACACCCACTTCTCTTCCTGCCTGCACATTGCTCTTCCCTTGGTCTCATTTGCCCCTTTCATGACCCATGTGTTTGAAAGCCATCAGCCTCTCCACTCACCCTACTTTACCACATGGTGATCCATTTTCTTCCTGAGGAGCACTGGTGATGAGGACCTCACTACTATCCTATTCTCAGAGGGGAGCCGTGGATGCATCCGCCTGTGCCTTTTGATACAGTAACAGCCCTCCCTGGCCTCTATTCTCAGGAACCCATCTTCCTTGTTAGCCCAGATCTCAGAGGTGTTGTCTACACCACCTGCGAGTAACACACTTTTCTCACTCAGAGTCACTCCACTCGGACCTGCCCACGTCTTTCATTAGTATGGACTCTCTGAGGTCCTGGCTTACTGGCTGTTCATCATTCACCTTTGTGGCCTATCTGCAACATCAGCATTGTTGACAAGTCTACAAAATAGTCACAGTTCTTCCAAATTTTCTTCACTCTCACTGGGACCTTCTTCCTTGTCTCCTTTGCCAGCTTATCTTCTTTTTTCCCCCACTGATATTATCAACACTGCTTTCTATGTATTATCTCATTCAATCCTCATAGCAACCTTTCTCTATTTTACAGGGAGTGAGATGTACTTAGGGCA